GTTAATAAAAAACAAAATATTTATAATCCAATCAACTTGCATACAAAATGAGCCTTTGACGGAAGGTAAAACTATAGACGCCTGTAGTATTGGTATGCAATAAAACTTATTTGAGGATTAAACTGTCTCCATGGTTAAGAAAGGGTTGCGTGGAAAAGAGCTATACTGTACACACTATTTCAATTAGTATGTAACGAATTTTTGAGTTTTATTGATATTACTTTAGGAATAAAGATGAAAAGCATTGATATTTCAGGCTTTTTATTCCTATATTACTATATCTGGCTGTTCATTTAAGAGCCATAACTGAAATAGTCTAAGCAGTCGGTTTTGTCTGTTTGATTTGTAATCTCTGAAGTGATACATTATAGTTAATGGTGTATGCAAATATTCAATGTAATGTATCATTTTAAGTACTAGTTGTTTCGAATATCTAGAAACTTCAATTGACAATAAACATGATCCAATCAGAAGTTACCGATTCTTGGACTGATTTTACAACGGAAGAAAAATCTTACTCCGGTAAAAGTCCAAACTAACTTATTCAAACAGATAACAAGCAAAACACCTTTAACTAATCGACATTCCACTATACCTAGTCCCATAAACAGAACTGGTATCTGAAATAATAACCTTAAATACACCATTCTCTTTGTTTAAATTTGTTTTGAATGTTCAAGTATTCTCCAAACAGTTACATGATTTGTAATGCAATATCTTACGAAAAATACAATCTTTGAACTACTTCATATTCAAAAAAAAACATTTTCGATTGGAGATAGGTTGCTGTAAAATACATAACATGCTAAATCCAATTATATATCTCCGTTATTTAGTGAAAAAAATGTTTGAAGATTTTTCTACTTATAATTTACATCTTGATATTAATAATGTACAAGCATCATTTCTAATCTCAGAGCTTACAATGAACCCTGAATTTCATGAGGTGACTCAACTGTAGTCTCGGTGAATTCTGTTGGGAAATCACCTGATAAAATGAAGCACCTAACCAATGATCACGATCATCAATAGTTGTTTAGTTAAAGCTAGCTTGTGATACAAATTAATTATTACTTGGATAACATTCACAAATCTCCCAATAGTAACTTATTTCTATTTGGTTAAGAGATAATAATAATATTATAATTATTAAAAAGTCATTAACGTAAAGATCTGGCTAACCGAGGGCTGCATTTCTACAATTGAAGAACATCTAGAACTCAAAACAACTATCAACCAAAACCGAAATCAGGATTTTCAATACAAATGTCAAGACAGTTCTACTGTATGGAGTGGAAGCTCGGAGAACTACCAAAGCCATCGTCCAAAAGATACAAGTATTTATTAACAGTTGTCTACGTAAAATACTTCGGATTCGTTGGTCAGACACCATCAGCAACAACGTACTGTGGGAGAGAGCAAACCAGATTCCAGCATGGGAGGAAATCAGGAAGAAGCGATGGAAGTGGATAGGGAACACACTACGAAAAGCATACAAATGCGTCACAAGACAAGCCCTCACATGGACTCCTCAAGGTAATAGGAAAAGAGGAAGGCCAAGGAACACATCACGCCGAGAAATAGAGAAAGATATGAGAAGAATGAATAAAAATTGGACAGAACTGGAAAGGGAAGCCCAGGACAGAGTATGTTGGAGAACACTGGTGAGCGTCCTATGCTCCATTGGGCGTAACAGGCGTAAGTAAAAGTATGTAAATTTTTAATGAAATATAGTTGTGTCACTTTGCGTTGACTGAAATTTTTTAAAATCTGTTTAGTGAGAAAAAACAAGATGGAGATATGTTTTGATGGAGTATCATGTGAAACAGGTAAACGTTAACAATTTCAATCCATCACAAAGTCTGTTATGACTGAGTGAACTTAATGGAGTTCAAGTTGAAAACTACTAGGTCTCTGTGTAGGTGTAAACAGTTCTGGTTTTCGCTGCTGATTAAGAGAATTCTTAAAAATTTAATTCTATTAGAAATAATTCGGATTATCCAGTTGTTGATATTCTGATTGAAATTTAATCAGTCTTAGTCAGCAAATAATCTTCCTATGCAGATTGTCTCGACATAACTATTATGAGACAAGTTTAAACAAAATAGACTGAATGTGGCTAACAACTGAATACAGGATGTGCTTTCCATCCTATTTGGTAATCATCTCAGAGTTGATGTTCACTACAGGACTGGGACTGAACCACTTTTCATCTATTTACTCCATATATTCTTAGAGATGGTTGAATTTTAGTAGTCCAAATCACAACTGGATCTTAGAAAACCATACTAGTAGTCCAACACCATCAGCTACACCTTGATGATGAGTGTCAATTATCATGAGAAATTGTGTTCAAACCTTTATAGTGATTACCTTCAATCACTTAACACCTATTTATGACCAATCTATTGATGAGTCTTTCAGATAAATGCCGCAATTCATCTTGATTGGCATGATTCAATAAGTTTCAAAGACTGGAAAAATAAATCGTCGGTTAACTCAATAACGTATAAATATAGCTTTAAGATTTACTTATTTAAAGTCTTGACCAAATGTAGGGTACACTGTAACACATTTTTCCTAAGAATATTCAGTTTGTTTGATTCTCACTCTAAAACGATGCATTGATCTAGTTTTATTACACTAAAGCAGTAAATATCCACCTGATATTGTGTTTCTTAATTCCTAACAAACTATATTAAGCTTCAAACATGATTGAAACTTATCGTAACTAGCCAATAAATGTTAAATAGTAAATGATTACGAAGGTGAACATATTTTATGCAGTTTTAACTACTTCATTATCCTGGTCCCCCAGTATATATTTAAATATATGATATATATGCATTAGTTTATTTTTTCTAAGTATATTTTGACAATAGATGGTGAAATTAACAATGACTTCTATTTCGTATGATATTTTGTTAGATTCAGTTTAAAAAGATGCTGAACAAGAAGTGTGAATTATGGATTTCCACATTCTTATTTCAATGACCGATAATAGTTAACATTTTAAAATTATGTTTCTTTTAACTGCTGAAACCATAATCATTTTGCGTACTTTTCCGTTTTATACATGAGTAAACTTCTGTGAATAGGATTTATGACTTGCCGAGTTACCTTTTACGATAGTGGAAATACAACAATTTGACAATTTACAAAATTATTTCTAGACATAACTATCAAATGTATCGTGTTATTGAACTAAAAAAAACAGAGAACTAATAAGATCTATATGGTGTAAACGTATTTTCTTTCAACTACCATGTTCATCTCCATCCGTAATCAGTAAATTGTATGAAATACTACCTTTTTTTATTGACTTGTTAGATAGAAATTACTAATCTGCTTACTTCTGATCCGAGTAAAGTTAAATACCAAAATTTTTCTCATAAATTATTTACAAACAGACCGAAAAGCTAATTGAAACCTTTATAACTTCAATAGTTCTATAGATTTTGTAATTTCTACCAGACCTTAAAATTTCTTCACATCCCACTTAGTACTGTGAGTGCACACTGCTACGAAATCACAATCTAGAGAAAAATAACTAACTTTCCAGTATTTATTGGTTTTTGAAGATTCTGCAAGCTGCCCGATTCCTTTGCAATATAAATATGCTTTAAATGAAAGAAAAATATTTCCAGTGAATTTGTTTCTCACCATTCGGTATCTCAATCCACTGATGTTTGTGGTTAAAGATGAACTGTCAGTCTGTAGTGAGCGAGTCAATATACCAGATTGACTATGCTCACCACTAAATGTTCCATAAAATCCCGCCATCATTGAAATCAAAATTAATCCATGGTTGAGTATTTTATTGAAGGAGAACGTTGGCATTACATGGGGAGCAGGGCATTTAGAAAAATGGCAGCAACGCGAAGAGAAGTGAAAGCAGTGTTTTTGGTACAGTTAAACAAAACGAGTACAATAATGTTTATTTTTCACAAATAGTATTCTCTTCGTAGAAGCGTTCCAATACAAGTCTTCTGCAGTAACGGTCACCATTAAAGTGAAATCCAAATAGGCATAGACAACTTCACTGTATACTTTTATAGACTTTCTCATGAATCTAGTTCATAACATTGACACGCAAAGAATAATACCAACAAAGTTTAATCTTATAAACTGTTGTCTTCAGTAGACTGTATCAGTCGGGCATTCGGTGTGAATTACTTTTTTCTGATCACCTCAAGTGTACCATTTAAATTACCGACCCGTTTCATTCTCAACTAACCAAGTACTAACCCAATTGAAAACAATAAAACAAAACACACACAAATAATAGTAAACAAATGAAGTCTAATCACCTGTTATTATTTTCCATTACATCATATTTACTTTTCTTTATACACTACTGAAATAACCAATGGAATACAATTGGATTCATCAAACGCCAAATCAAACAAGAAATTAAAATAATAAAAAAAAAAAAAACAATCAAAATGATACGAATTTTTGAAATGAATCTGACTTTCATTCAAAATTGAAATAGAAAAAGGAGAAAATATCGAAATAGGCAAGTACATTGGATGTGTTATGTATGCTGATATATGATTGTAATTTATTATTGTTTGTGATTGTAGAATTCTGTACTTACCTGAGTTCATTGACTAAAATATCTTATTAGCCAGTGTTCGAAAACAATTGATCCCTCCACAGAAAAGAAAGTCAGATCATGATGAAAACAAAAATGTCCGTGTTTATCTGAATAATATGTGTGTGTGTGCGTGTGCATTGATATTGCAAAGTAATCAAACAAGTGAGTGAGTGGTTGTGTGTGGTTGTGTGTGTGTGTATGTGTTTGAATGAGCAAGTCAAATAATAAAGATATTAATCAGATTGATGCAAAACAATGTTGGCAAATATACAATAAAAATTAGTGTGCATTCATGATCGCAATAAATTCATATTATGTACAGTATGAAGTACAATAAACAGAAACTATGAAACATTTACATCAATAATCAGTAATAATAATAGTAATAATAATAATAATAATAAAAATGAAAGTTACAAGAAGTAAAAAAAATGATAATTTTTTTTCATATTTAAAGTCAGTCTGTGACAATTCATTTTTACTTCATTCATATAAATTCATGTAGAAAGACAAAAGAGAAAAAATATTTCAGAATAAACAAATCATATGTAGATTTCAATGAGATCTAGATGCTTGAACACAACCGCATAATTTTTGAAACCACATTTTTTGTCGCCGTTTATTTCTGCATTGTGTAGAACTATCATAACTATGATAATCTCGTCTTCGTCTTATCGGTGCATATCCATGTTTATCAGGTTCTATGGTTAGTTTGCTTGGAATCAATTCACTAGTTGATTGATTTTGATCAAACGTGTGATTATCAATTTGACAGAATCCTAACCATGTACTACCATCCACTGAATTTCTTCCTGTATTGTATGCAAACAAAGCAGAATTGAAATATAAAAGCAAAATTAAAATTAGTCATAATTTTGAATGAATTTAAGTAATTACCTTCAACTCAATTTGGCTAACATTTTATGTATGAATGATGATATTTTTAAAAATTATGTTATCTGAAAATTCGAAAAAATATTCAGAATACTTAAAGTAGCCCAGTAGCATAAGATCTGAACAGAAGCTTAGACAAAAGGGACAGTATGGCCACAGTTGTCCAACTATTCAGCTTTATAGGGGATATAATGTTAACATCGCAAAGTCTTTTAAGATAATCAATCAACACAAGGTGCGGAATCAACTACGTTCTAATAAAGAAGTGACCATAAAAATATCTCAATCAAAATGAAGCATTCAGAAGGATACAGTTACGTTAATATTCACAGATTGGCATAGACAGACATCTGAATTACTTTTGAGGATGTTTTATAAAAAAGAAAGCATTAAACTAAAAATAATAGTTAAAGTTTATTAAATTATTGTACATGATTTATTCATAAGTATACATCCACATGCATATTACATTTTTATTACTAATTCATAAAAATAAAATAAAAAAGTCTGTATGAACTTTCTTAGTGTGTTGAGGATGTTAGATCCCTAGAACTCGCTTAATAAACGCCTAAATTTTGGATTTTATGTTTCCGAGCATGGGCTGATTAGTTGATCTCGAGATTTCATTTCCCACCAGGAAAAGCCTTGACTGTGATTGATTATTGTGTTATTTTAGTGTGCTATTTTTATGACTCTCCAAAGGACGCTTCTATGATGCATAAATAAACGAGATTTGTATGCTTGAGATCATTGTGCTCGTTGGGTGTTTGTAGAATATACTTTCTACGCTACACCAAGACTTCTGTTTTACAGTTTGGGATTCAAGGTAGCCTACCTGGACGCTGGTAATTGTCTCGTTCACGTTTATCGACTAAAGTGAACCCGTAATAGTTTCAAGCATACCTAGTGATGAGCATAACATATTTATTAATAAGTATATATCTATATGCATATTACATTTTTATTACCAATTCATAAAAATAAAATAAAAATCTCTATGAACTTTCTTATAAGATTGGCGTTCGAAATATAAGAGTGTACTCAAGAAAAAAATTATAATAATAATCAATGTACTTCAAAACTAACTTGTACTTAATTATGAAAAAAAAGTACATTATGTAATCAATATGTCTTAAATGTAACCTTAATAGTAGGAAAGAGAATAGAATAACAATGAAAGTGCAAAGCAGAAAAAAAAATAAGGCGAAAAACGTTTACACTGTAATAATCCTTGCTTTTTCTTTTTTACGTTTAACTAAAATCCATTGTATGATTGACAGAGAATTACAGCAAGAGAACATTTATGAAATATTTAACAGATAAGGTAAACAAAATGACAGGAAAAACGAAATAGTCTGCCTAAAACAGATGTAGATTTTGTAATCTATTAGAAACTGCAATATTGAAACAATAGACTGTGAATTAAAACAAAATCTTATTGTTTATGCCCATCAAGTTGAAATAATTAATCATCTTATTTTCAAAAGAAGCATTTCTACATGATCAACTTAATCAGACATTAGTTTTATTGAAAGAATTTAAAAGTAATCTAGATTTACAAATTATCTTGACTACTGTGTTGCTTTGACAATATAAGTCAAAAAAGATTGGTCGGAAAGTTTTAGTACATTGAAACAAATGTAATCATTTGTTATTTCGCTGAATAACAGTAAAAAATTATTTATTTGTGCTGGTTGTTTGAATCTTCTCATTGATGTTTACAACTACAAATGATCAGTCTCTTTGGTATACATGCTATTTGTGTGGATTACCTAGACATGGTCGCTAAGTCCTAAGTATTAATAGCAGTTATGGATGAGTGGTTAACAATGGAATCTAGGACATATATTTCGACCATTTTAGAACTTATGAGGTGGATATATATCAATATCACAGAAGTAATGTTCAACCTGGGACACAAAACCACTACTGTTCTCATTAAACATTAATAAAATGATTCAAACAACCAGTTTAAAACAATAAAACTACATCAACAACATAGTGGCTGTCTAGTTTCAATAGGTAAATGGATAATGCAATGACGTTTCAAATGAATGACACTGAGTTCGAGTAACGCGGTGAACATCAACTTTGGGATACAAGTACATCTAGATGACAAATCTCAAACAGAAAAAATGCGTGTCCTAGATTCCACTGTTAGCCATCGTCTATCTGTACTAGTAATAATAATTATTATTATTATAAACATGATTTTCAAAATTTAAACCTTCCTTAATAAATATATGTATATATTTTACTATTCTGAATATTTACTGAAAAGAAAGTAGCCTGAGTTCGTTCGTGTTGCTCCAATTTTCTAGCTGTGTGAAGACATTAAGTTTAGTTTCAGTACAAGTAAATTGATGAAGAATCGTAAAAAAGATAGCAAGAGGTCATCCTTTGTATAAAAACCAAACAAATATTTAATGTTTTCCCTACTTCTATTTATGGCCTATTTGTGGACGAGCTTGAGACAAAATCTCACTTCGAGATCATTGATCATTCACAACAGCCCACTATGAATATTCAGACTGTCTAATCTTTATTTCCACTCAAACGAAATAGCTCAATTAAAAATTTTTAAAGGTAATTTTCAAAATATCTTCACTATAAAAAGAAAATGTTGTTTTTACACATTGAATCAATAATTTGTCCATTTAAAAACATTATTTATGGTTTCAAACTTTATGCCTGATAATTTGCCAATTCGTTAAACGAAATTTTAAGAAAAACTATTATGCCTCAGTCAAGCGAAAAACAAATGAAAAAAAATCAATAGTATCTACATAATGACGTCATGATGAAAGTTTCTAGGGTCAACACAACATTAACTGCTTCTTTTGATAAAAAAAAATTTCAGGGTGAAAAGGTCAACAACAATAACAACAGCAAAAATAAAATCTGTCTACCAATCATACTGCATTACTTGAAGATGTCAATATATATATATATATATATATATATATATATATATATATATACATATATTTGAATTCGAATTGATCAAGATAAATGTTCAAAGTTCAAGATTATATGAATAAAAAGTACTTCATTCCCATTAGTGACTAAATGAATTTAGATTCACTTTAAGCATTTCCCCTTTTAGTTTTTTTTAAATAAAGATATCTTTGTAATTTTACAATATAATCTACTTATTACTGTTAAACTAATAGAATGTAGCCTACAGTAAAGTAAAGGCGTTAGTTATTCAAATGGGCATAATAAATATTTTTATTTAACTAAGAAAAAAATTTTACATTGTCAAAGTGGAAATGCCAAACATTTAAAAGGGTTTGTCAACTGCGGCATAATTCTGTTTTATTTAAATAGTAAATATGTGCGTATGCGTGTTAATTTGAACAATATGAATCATTTGCATGATTGTTAATGAAAATTCTTGCAGAATAGAACAAATCTCATACCTAATACCATAAAACTTTCAAAGCATTTTTACAAATGTTAGTTATAACTTATGACGAGGTATAGAGATTAGAAATATAGAGATGTAGTCAACCATAGTATTAGACGCGATATATTATTCTGATTAGTATTTGTCGTTTGTCTCTCTAGATTTGTATATAGTAATACACAGTCATGGTTCATGGGTCAGGCTTAGTTGCGAAAATGTTAGATAAGGTTGCTATGGTAATAAGCAATAAATTTTTCTTGTCAATGGTTACTTACAACAATAATTGATTAAATTTGAAAAAGAATTTCGATATTGATTCATGTTCAGCATTAGACAATGGAACATTAATGATACTCTCTCTCTCTCTCTCTAATGTATATTCATAACACTGATATTGATTTCTGTGTGGGGTTTTGCCCACTAGATTAGATATTATGGAAATGTCGCTTAATTCAAAGGCCATTTCAATATAAAAAGAAATATTAATTATTAAAGAAAATGACTATATCTTCACAAATGTTTCACTGATACGTAATTAATCTTATATTGTCTTGCCTTCAACACCAACTGAACTTCATCTATCCACAGTGATACACCCTTAAAATCAGCTATCGTTCATTTTTCACTTAACGGACTAAATAGCTTTTTAGTGATTTGTTCATGGAAATCTACCATATATAGGGGTTAAGTCCATATTAATTCCATTCTGCTGGTGATCTCCAATGGATATTAGAGTAGAATGTGGAACATTCTTGTTAGGGACGTTAGATCCATAGAGCTCGCTTAATAAATGCCTTAATTTTGTATTTCATGTTTCCGAGCATGGGCTGATTAGTTGACATTGAAATCACATTTCCTACCAGGAAAAGCTTTGACTGTGATTGGTTACTGTGTATTCCAGTGCGCTATTTTTATGACTCTCCAAAGGATGCTTCTATGATGTATAAATAAACGAGATTCGTACGCTTGAGATCATTGTGCTTACTGGGTGTTTGTAGAATATACTTTCTACACTATATCAAGAGTTTTTCGTTAGTTCTTTTTGATCAACGGATCAGAGTAGCCTACCTGGACTCCGGTTCATTGTCTCGTTCTCGTTTATCGACAAAGGTGAACCCGTAATAGTTTCAAGCATACCTAATGACATCCATAACAGTTCTGTCGCTCCAAAACGTCAAAAGTGAAATCAAATTTTATTAATACTGGATGTGAAGGAAATATGGGTTGGATGTTCACGATGAGGAATTAAAAACATTTCGGTTTGTACTTTACCATCAATTAAATACTTTTTATAATATCGTATAGTTTATTAACAAAATTAGAATCTGACTTACGCTAAAACATCTACTGCAAAATGTAAACCTAATGTCAAGTAGTTGAGGGTGATAGGCATTAAATCATGAAATTAGGATATGTACTGGCTGTCGATCGTCAGCAAACATATCAAGAACGTTCAAAAAGCAGGTTATAACAGTGAGATTCAAACCTTTTTACAAAAAGTATGAAAGA